TTAATACAAAAAGGACTGCATCTGACAACCTTTAAACTTTAATCTTATCTCCTAATGTATACCTGGAAATAATGTAAGCTTTTGCAAAAAAACAAATAATAAACGAGAATCGATGATACAAATGCATTTTCATGAGCTTATACTTAGAAAATGATTATTCATTTGCAATATGCACAAAAAGTGCAACGTGGGTCAACGCCCCACCACCAGGATGTCTAAGAGGATAGTAGTGATGATGCTACCTGTTTGTGTGTTATTGTTCGGGATTTGTTGATCGGCGAGAGCGCAAGCGCACAACAAGCACATCCATCGAATCCATCTGACCAGCATTTCATGTCGTCGGCTCGTCGTGGTGGTTGTCGTTAATGCTTTGCCGCCGATCACTTAATCTCTTAAGGAAATTATGACTGTCGTTACAAAAGTTGTTGAGCTGATTGCATGTGAGGAGATGGGGCACGACTTTACAGATCTTTGCAGGTGGCTCAAGATTTAGAAATTAACTAAAAGAGATGAAAAATTATCAATCGAAGAAAAAATCGTATTGAACGGTGTTTTGGTGAGCTAAAGACGTTTGCGGGTGCAAAATATGAGGCACGCCATAGATGTTTGTCCGAGAACTGCCGGTAACGACGCCCCCACACTCCGTTAGAGCCGTGGCGCAGTTCCGATTTTGCCGCCGAGTGGATGCGCTTTGGGGAGACACGCACACGGCGCTCAGTGGTAAAACAATCTACTCACCGTCACCGTATTTGAGTGGGTGGCTGGAGGTGAAATAGAGTTAGAGTGGCATAGCGAGAAAAACAAAAATTTAAATCACATGATTACAGTAGTGTGTGTGTATCTCATGTATAACTAGTTTGCATATTTGCTCTTAAGAATATTATCATAAACTACAAATTGTAATTACTATAAAGTACTAGCGATACCTTGCGACTCACCTGTTGATACATTTTTTTCTATCAGTGAAAATAAATAAAAACTAACGGTAATAGAAAAATCACATCACCTAAAAATATTAAATTCTTTATTTAATACCGAAAAAAGTTTTATCGCCCTCGAATTTCATAAAAATTAATAAAATATTAATCAGTTACATTTTCAAAAAAATAACTAATTTTTTTGTTTGGGATTTTTAAGATACTAAACTATCTTATATTAGTATATAAAGATAATAAGATGATCAAAAGACAACTTTAATTTCTTTAAAAAATAACAAGTACTACCAACTAGTGGGTTATAAAATACTTTACTGTCGTTATAATGAAATTGTTTCGACGCAACTTATGTTTGCTTCGCAATTTTCACGAAACAAAAAAAATATGATAGCTCCTATTATATTAATACTAGGTTTGTTGTGTTAAAAACTTTATGTCTATCTGTATTATAAAGTACACTTTTTTTATCAAAAAAATAATAATAATAATAAAAAATAAAACGTGTATAATATATGATATGTAATTTGGTACAGAATTCAAACAACAAAAAAATATCTTCAATGAATAAAATATAAAATACATCCGAGTAGAACACTATACACTGCACGTCTTCAATTACGTTTTATTAAAAAAAATTTAATCCCATGGGATAAGTTAGGTTGAATTATTTGATGACTAATTTAAAACTGTCTATTGTATGACATTGATATGGAATTCTAAATTTCAAATTACGTTGAATTTAATGATAATATCAACTTAAATAGTAATAGGAATTTTTTTTAAATCAAAAACTGTTAATAATATACGATAAAAAAAGTTACCACATAAAACTGTCGTAACAACTATAACTTTTTTTTTTTTGTGAACAATTCACAAAGAACTATATTCGAATCGTTATTTATAAAATAAAATTAAATAATTTAAGTAAAAATATATTTAATTTATAATTTTTACAATTTAACTTCTAGACATTTTACACTAAAAAATTCATCATAAAGCAATATTTTTTTCCTAAGATTAAATTGGTTTTTACCAATATTTTTTAACTTTTTAAATAATAGTACATATTCGCAGTCCTTGTGAATGCTGATCAAAAATAACTTTAACTAGTAACAAAAAGATTTGTAAAATAAGACACTTGAGAAAATTCGTGATTAAGAAAAAAGCCCAATTTAGTAAGTAGAAATTCAAACGTGTTTTATTAACGCTTTTAGTATTATTTACCCCGTACTTGATACTGTTTATTCGGAACTTTATTTGTTTCGCTTTATCTAAACTTATAACACAATACATGTTTTAAGTGAATTAATTTGGTTTTATTTTCATAAAATTTAAATAAAAATCATTGCTTTATTAAATAATATTAGAATAAAACTGGATACTTCAAAAATAGTAACTACAATAAAGTAAATCAAAGTCATAAGAGAATAAAAACTATATTTTTCAGAGAAATTAAATCATTTGTTATTTATGATCACACAATTTGTTAAATTATATAGACAAACTTTTAAATTTTTTAATAAAAATAAATTACAACCATTTTTAAAGTATTAACACACTACTAATAAAAAGAATACAAAAAATTAAAGTCACTTAAAATTTTTATTTAAAAAATATTAAATCAAATACGAGTTCTTTTATTGTTATAACTAATTGTACTACATCTGCTTAATACGAAAATGATATTAAGAAACAAAATATTTATTGATACTAGTTAATCAGTAATTATATGGGAATTCCCAACGGGAAATAATTAAAATTAAGTTGTATGAAGAAAAAAAATTTATCCAATTATTGTCAGTATTTCACTTTTTGTAAATTTATAATTATAACTATAAGTTAATTATAAATTTTAAATAATACAAATACCCAAAAATCTATAGTAAGAAAAAAAAGCTGTGGAAAATACTATGTATGTTTATTAAAAATAATTCTATTATACTCTCATGGTTACAATAACAAAATTAAATTAAACGCATTAAATTTTAATGTCTTGAATTATACAAATTAATATTATCAATTTCTTTTTAAATTTTATTTGTAATAAATCTATACAAAAATATAAGCTAATTTAAATGATATCCTTAACTAATAACTTAACTCTAATATCAATAAAATATCAAATAGACTTAGAGTTTAACGAGTCTGTTGCAAAAAAAAATTCTGTATTTGCTGTATTAATTTATTATTTACTGAAATTTATATAATGATGACAAAAGTAAATGTGAACAAAAACTGAATGGTCACTTCAATTACAATATACTAAATCTAATGTTAGCAAGAAACGATAAAGCAAATTCCGTTAGAATTTATCGATTCCACAATTGAGTCTATAGCCATTTGGATGTACTTACTTTTATAGAGTTTTGATTATTATGTAACAATCGTTCAGTTTATAGCTTAGTAAATAAGAAAGGTAATAACCTGTATGTGTTCAAAATTATGCTGCGTTCGGGTGGGTGCAAAGGTTTTTCCAAAACGATAACAAAACCATAACGCATAAAATATATTCCAAGTAACTATCAAGTGGCAATCTGCGTGACCATCTATTCTGTGATAGAACAAAACAAATTGTCAAATCTAATGTGAGCTAAAATTTCAACAGTATATACTTTTAATTCGTTTCTATACTTAGGTATTTTTAAAGCACGTTAACAAAATTAAACTTAGTTGGCCGTATTATCCACTCGGACATTTCAGTTTCTATACTAACAAAACAAAATTATTTAATAATAATTAAATTTTATAGAGGTAAATTACTTGACTAACTTGATTATTCGCTAATTAATACTCTGTAAACTAATTTTTGTATAATTGTCGAATTATAATATTTATATAATAAAAGCTATGAAAAAATAAAACACTTGTATATTCATAAATATTATATGAAAGTTCATACACAGAATGAAACTTTGAATAAAATCATTCACGCATTAAATTTAATGCGTAAATTTTAATTTAACAAAACAATTTTTAAAAATTAAATGTAATTTGTTATATGATTTTTTATTCAATTGAGAAATAAACTTTATAAAGTGTAATTATTCCTAAAAATTTTACTTTGAAATTAAAAATGAATAATGAAAAAAGTCAAGTTCAATCAAGTGACAGTCAAATTAAAAAATGTTTTATTTCAATGGAAATTTAATAGAAAGATTTGTAGATAAGGGGTGGTTTCGTGGTTTAAACTTCCCTATCACAATTTATTTACATGTAACAAATTTATTTTAAAAAATTGTATGGAGATTATGCATTAAACCCCCTTCCCCCATAATTAATCTATATTAACGTTCCCGTTCACAATCAATTATTATTGTCTAAACATTTTTTAAACAAAATCGTTAGTGGAGTTTTCGCTCCCACTCCTTTAATCCGGACCTGACTATGCTGATCATGATATTATGATTCTTTGATTATGAACGATCAATAAAATTAGTAGTTCAGTATATCAACTATTGATGGGCATATTCGAATATTTTAAACTATCGAATAACTATTCGAATAGTTTTTGTACAACCGAATAGTTTATTTTTAGCATAAACTATCGAATAGTTTTAAAAACTATCGAATAACTATTCGAATAGTTTTTATACAACCGAATAGTTTTAAAAAATATTCGATTAGTTCTACCTAAAATTTTTATTAAGTATACTTAATTATAATAAGAAGATAATTAACGAATACTTATAAATAAATTATTATACAATTAATAATAGTAAAAATTAGTGATGGGCATTTTCAAATATTTTAAACTATCGTATAACTATTCAAATTGTGTTTATACAATGGAATAGTTTATTTTTAGCATAAACTATCGAATAGTTTTAAAAACTATTCGAATATATTGTGTAACTATCGAATATTTTTTGAATGACTATCGAATAGTTCGATAGTTTCTATTCGATATTTCTAATATCAACCTTCCACGAATTATTTATATTAAAACCTCAAGGAAAATCTGAAATTTCATTATTAAACTTGATTATTCATTTATTAAATAAATAATTAGATTAATGATTTTTAAAAATGACTATTATTTGTATTTTAAGAATTTCGAGTTTTAAATATTCAAAAATACATATAATGATACTAAAATAACAAAAGTTACAATGGTTTATTTATACATTGAATGAAAGATTTAATTAAATTTGCTTAAAAAGTACTTGACATAGTCAAATAATGAATTAGTATTATAACTTCAGTGGTACAAAGCGAAAAAAACCAAGACAAAATCCAAGGTGACTTATTCAAATTTCCAACCTCTATTTATCCATTACATCGATTTATCTCTATAACTTACTTAAATAAGGCATACTTATTATATGAAATTATTTAAAAATTTATTTTTACTGTTTTTCTAATTGTTTTATGTAATTCTTAACAAAACCATATTTGTTCACAACCAATCTATAAAAAATCCCGCGTTTATATAGTTTCTTATAAAACGCGAACATAAATAAATTACGTTAAAGATATTATACAGATAAAATATTTAGAGAAAAATTGTACATTTTTAGAATTTCGTGGATTGTCCCGTAAATAAAATACAAAATTTGACAGAAATAACTTTGTTGGAGTACACTTGAAATTGCAAAGTTAAATTATTTAAGAAACAAACATGACTATTAAAAAAGAAATTTTTATCTAATTAATTTTTTATGAAAACATAGTCAGGGCTGAAATTGGGGGTGTTGTTCCTGGAACTTAATCATGAAGTCGGTCAAAACCTTTACTTCATCTAGTGTCATGGCATTGTACATAGCGACTCGAATTCCTCCTACTAACCTGTTAAATTCAATCCATTTTTAATAATAAGTGATTTAAATAAAAAAACAACTGCTATTCTTACCTATGACCTTTGAGTTGTAAAAATCCAATATCTTGGGATTCTTTCAAAAACTGCTTATCAGCTTCAGGCCCGGTAGACAACCGGAAAGGAACTGTCACACGACTCCTATATGCACTATCAATGGGACAAGAATAAAATCCCTTAGAGTCTTCGATGGTTTTGTACAAAAGTTGGCTTTTAGTTTTTGATTGTTCTTCCATACTACCAACTCCTCCTTGTTCTTTAATCCATTTCAATACCAACGACAGCATGTATACACTACGAATAATAGTAAATTTAGAATACAATTTTTAATTGAAATTAAAACTAATATTTACATAAACGTAGGTGGTGTATTAACTAAGGAATCATCATGAGCAAATAGTGTATAATTGAATACCATAGGGCAAATAGGACTAGGATGTCCAATTAAATCATCGCGGATTATTATCACAGTGATACCAGCAGGTCCTAAATTTTTTTGAGCACATGCAAACACAATACCAAACTAAAAATTCAGTAACTGGAAAATTATGAAATGAAATATAACACAATTATTTTTAATAAATTACCTTGCTAACATTAAACTTTCTAGTCATTATGTTGGACGACATATCACATACTAACGGTACACCGTTAGTTTCAGGGATAAAAGGAAATTCAATGCCTATAAAATTTAATTAATTTCAACTGTAAAATGATAAACTATAAGTATTAGTATGATACTGTATTAAAAACTAAAATTGTATGATTAAATTAATTTTTATTAAATAATAATACCATATTTAACTTTTTACGTTCTTATAATGAAATATATTAACATCGTGAAAATTGCATAAGAAATTAGTACTATATTAAGTATTACTTAGAAAAATATAATACTCTTTTGTTAAAAAAGTTTTCTTTAATAATTGACCTTAACAAATCAATAGCTAAACGACCTTTTTTATCCCAAAATTTATAATAAAGTTATATTTTTTAGTTTAATTTAAACATAAATTAAAAAACTGAACAGAAACAAGAACATGTTTAGAAATTTATAATGTTTGGGGCTAAAATACATTTTTCTAGTTCATTTATTTTGAAATGATTATGAACAAATAAAAGCAGTTAACAAACATTGTTATATTAGCATTGTACGGTCAATGGAAGTGCACGTGCCTCATATCACCACTTTAATATGCCACTCGTAAACTGTGGAAACTCAGTAGATTAAAAATGCCGTACTGCTCTTTTAAAAATTTAGTCAATTTTTTGACAATCATAATTTTTTTAACAATATTAATAATATAATGCTTAACCTAAAAAAAATATCTAAATTTAAGGAAAACCTAGGAACCTGTCCTCGAAATCCTTAAAAACAAATTTTTACAACAATACAAGTATAATTTATTTTTAAAAAATAATTAATTTTAAACGAATGTACAACTTTTGTTCATAAAAAAATCGATCAGTATTTAAGATAAATATTTTAAGTAAGTAAAAATAAATAGTAATATAATTCTGTATATAATTGAAAGCTATGTTAAATACTATTTTGTACCATTAATTAGTTAGAACATGTAGATAACGTAAATTCTTATAACTTTATCAAAGAATAAACAATTTATTTAAAAAGAACCATATATACATAATAAAGAATGTCTATGTATATTGAATATCATTAAGTCTATTGAACTCGCAATGTAGAAGATATCCAATCATTAGAATAATTAAACGCATAAATAGTTTATAAAATGTCTTAACAATATGTTCAAAGAATTAATTTTTCTCTTGTAGATATTCGTATATGAAAACGTATAAGAAATAGACCTTTTAATATACAGAGTGTTCAGTAAATAAGGAAACGAATTTCTATTGTACTCATTGTTTGTAACAATTTAACTGTTTCCTAACTTACTGAACACTCTGTATATTTGAAGAAAGTATGTTACATTCTAATTGGAAATAAAATGTATACATTTTTTCATTTATACGAAAAAATATACTTAATATCGGGGTAATTTAAAAACTTAATCTTTAATCTAAAACTTAATGTTTAGAATAAAAAATAAACAATTTTAACAACCTAAATATTCAATAAAAGGAATTGTCCGTCCAATATCTAAAGACCGTTTAGTGTTCAATGAAAGCAATTAATAGGGCTTAATTTTTACCTTTTTGATGTTACACGATTTTTTTTTTTGTAACTCTCAGTACTCTAACCTGGTGAAATTTTAAAGTGCTCACATTATTACTAGTAACTACAGTTAGTTACAATATATTTTTAGAATTTCGTACAACAACCATTTAATATTTTATTACTCAACATTTATTAAAAATAAGTTTTGCATTGCATTATAATACCCAGTTAATTTATAATTCAGTACATAATTATCGTTATATATTGAAAAAATAAAAAAGCGATCAAAAATAAATTATATACACAAACTATTAATAGTTGAAATATTTATACGCCATACTATCAATGATTGCAAATGTATACTAAATTATTTTCAAATCATTAAAAAGATACTTGATTACATAGATATACATTATATTTAACGTTATATGTTAAAAGTAGACAATATTTTTACCATTCACAGTTTCGTTGTCACAATAGTAAACAAAAGCAGCTTCTGGATCTAATTTCCATGTTGACTGATCTGGAATCTTTTCAAATTTTTCTGGTTTCGGGAAAACATAATTTACTTTCATGTACTTTGAAGTTTCTTTAGCGGCTTTTGTAGACCATTCGCCTGTAAATATTATTGAGAAATTTGAAAGCTAAATAATTTTATGCGATTTAGTTATACCAATAATAGCAAGCCACTTACCAGTCAATATAAAGTCTGCTTTTTCACCCCGATGCATTAAGTTCAAAGGAACAGAAGCAAAAGCACCGGTGCCACCACCTTGCATTAATAATATTTTGTAATTGGAAGGCACATTTCTGAAAAAAAATACATAAATTAAAATGTCTAATAGTGACGAACTTTGAGAAGCATTAATGTTAATAATTCTATTATCTAGTATAAACATGAATCTTCCTTAAAATACTATATTATAATTAACAACAGAAAAAGGTATATATATATATATATATCTTATAATAATTAATATAGAAAATAATTGTTCAATATTTTATTTAAAGTAAAAATATTTTTTGTTCAAAATTATTTATTTAATAAAAATGCCAAAACTCCATTTTAAATCTTAAAAAATAAATAGTTAAGATGACAGTACATATTTCAACTTTAAAATTAGGACGATATTATAACTGTTTAAGAGAAAGTTCATAAATTCAAACATAAATAGACTGTAGATCAACGACTATCGCTAAAACACAAAAATGTTAGCAAAAGCATTTTGATATTATGAAATAGATATTAGATATCTATTTTTAAATGAAATACCTAAAAGTGAATGGAGTGTATGAAATACAATTTCATGAAATACAATTTCATACTCCATAAAGTCTTCATCGGTACAACATAATTATAAATCTACCTTTTTTTGGGAGAAAGATCTAAATTATTCTGATTATGGTTAAAACTCTCATATCCTTTTTTATTTCTTCTTGGCTGACATTAGAGTAAAAAAAAATTTTTTTGCACAACATTTGCTAGTTTCTTTTATTTTGATGTGATGCCATGTTTTATATTATTCACGCTTATTATTAAATTTTTTTTTCTTTAGATTAAAAATTTCGGTTTAACTTGAAAAATAATACAAAAATTGACTAAATTAATACTTTAATCATAGTTACAAGATTTGTCTGACAGATTCAATGACCCGATTGTTTANTACAAGAGTTGTCTGACAGATTCAATGACCCGATTGTTTATTACTGCATATTCAGCCGATCGATGACTTAATTCCATTACACTTAGACCACAACCACAGTTTAAAATTTCATCTCTGGCTTGTTCCAATACCTGTGTAAAAATTGACATTGGGAATAGATATGAACTTTGACTAATAGTAAGACAATGTGAAAACTTAAAAATTTTATCAGTTCCTTTACTTGTCTGGGTAGTTTTGCGGGACCAGCACCAAAATTGATTACATGATTGGATGACATTGTCAGTTGTTGGATTGTTTGGAGGTTTGTCCTGCTCGATCGATTACCTACTAAGGATAAAAAATTAGAGAAAACGACTCAAATAAGACACAACATGTGCGCTACGTTGTGCGAATACTAACTAAATGAAACCGGTTGAAGTGTACACGAGGTGCACTCACACCACTATTCAAAACTCATTTTATTAATCATAGCAATAGAACCAATTAAAATAATTTTCGTTCTAAACACATCTGTCAACCACTTGTTCATATTATCACACAGAATTACTATTTAAAACTAATATTAATACATACGAATAAGACTTGGCTTGAATTTAAAATACACCTCTAAAGAAAATCAAATTAAATAACTTAATTTAAATAACCATTGTGTAAATTAATACACTACGTTTAATAAGCAGTACTTAACATTTTGTTAAAAATTATAATACATTGTTTATAAAATTTTAAAAATAAATTATTTTATTCAATCCTGTAACAACATAAGAAATTTGTTTAATATTTTCTTAAATAAATATATGCTCATATAATTGTATTGCACCAGACGTGGATCCAATTTCCGTGATCAGAAGAGCCGGTTTAATAGTATATTTATATATATAATGAGTTTCCTACAATTTTCTGATATTTCTAATAACTTTGGATCCAGAGAATACTTTGCGTTAGTTTTTAGCTTCAATGCTAATTTAAGAAGATTTTACCGTGATGTATTTTTTTTATGTCAGTCGATGAAAATTTTCAGATCTCACTAGACTTATGTACAGAGAAGGTTTGAAAATGAACCCCGAAGGTAAAAGTTTTTTGTAAACTTCATTTTTGAAAAGATTCCGAAAAAACTGCGTTTTTCTAACCTATACCAAATTATTGCTTATGAAGTGTACAACAACCTTGGTTTTAAAAGACACTTTAAAATCAAGGTTGTTAAAAACATGATAAAATAAAAAAACCTATTTAAAACATCCCACAAGACCAATGTAAATTTTAAAAAAAATTGGTGTTATAAACATGCAGTGTTTAAAGCGTAACAACCCCGTTTAAACTTTATTAAATTAAAGTTTTTGAAATCTACAATATGAAAATAATAATTTGTCCAATTCTTCTATGAAATAACAGCCATCAAATTAAAAAAATTGAAATTTTTAAATTAAAAATACTTTATTTTCAATAATGAAATAATTTAATGAGTATTTAATATTTGAGTGAAATTTTAAAATTATGAGACTACAATATTATTTGTTCTTAATAAGAAAAATAAATAATCATAAAATTTTATCAAAAAATAAATATAAAAAATAATAATAATTTGATGGTTGGTTAACAATTTTAAGATTAATACTTATTGTGTTATAAACATTTTAATGTATAGCATAAGTACTTAGCATGGCGAAGAATGCATGTAAATGATGATACATTGATTTACTTGTAGACACGTGTAAATAATTTTTTTTTTGTTTTTTACATATATATTTAGATTTTATCTTTAGGAAAAGAATAAAGGACATAAATAGCCGATAATCGGGGTGAGAACTAGTCTGTGTTCACTCTGATAGAAATTTTTTTTCTAATTTTAACAATAAAAAATAAAAAACAGCAGCACAGTGAGGTCGCAACTTAGTTGGGACAAGTATAAATGACATATGATAGTGATTAAAATCACTGTTATAAGTATAATACATGAAAAAACTTTTATTATAGTAATTAAATGTAGTATGAGAATAATATTCAATTATTTACAATTAAATGTGTTGTAATTTTTACAGAAAAATGATAAAGTTATATATGTTGTTACCTCCGTGTTAAACACATATCAAAATTCTAAACAAATTTAATGATTTTTTCTAATTAATTGAAGTTAAGTTAGGGCTCTATAGGTAATATAGACTTTGTAGACATTTATCTCTATAGAAACTATCTCTATGGTAGCTCACAGATAAGTTGATAAATTAACCACATGTATCCATACTTTATCCAGAAAATAAAATATGCTGTGTAAATTTAATTAAAAACAGTAACATTGCCTAACGTAATCTAGATAACACTTGAAACTATATTTTTAAATAAAATTTTTAAGTGGCCCACTTTACACCGACTAGTGTAAATTTTTGCTGTCACAGACAAAAAAGTCTGCGCAGGCCTATGTTGGACGGTCATTAATAAATGCAGAAATCCTTCCTAATATTTATAATTAACACTTAAAACACAATTATTTTTTTGCAAAAGTGAGGTGGTAAAAAATTATTTTTGCTGCTGAACTATTATTCTGAAATTGTATATATTACAATCTATATATTACAAATAAATTGTCGAATTAATGGACGATTCGTAATGGAGGTGTACCCTACCACAACTACAGGACGTCTCAACTTCTACTCATTAATAAGTAACGTAGTTTTCTGAGAAACAACCTAGTGGGTATCAAAGGATTTTAACAATCTCCCCTTATACATTTAATTTGAGGTTATTTTTTTTCAATATTTCAAGTATTTATTGAAATAATGAAACAATAACTAAAAATAAAATCATTAATTAACTGGATATAAAAAAATTTATCTTCTTCGCAAACTAGAATATTATTATCAATAATATCCAATCTTAACCTGTTCAGGGGAATATCAAAAACCTTAAATGTCCATTTAATAATAGATGGGAAAAGATATAGGCAGTGTTTTACTATATATCCTTTTATTAACATAATTCATAATTATACTGCTATAATAGCAGGGTTGTACTACTGAATAAAATCTCAAATGCCATTTCTTTTTAATATAACTTTTTGTATAAAATCCTTCTAGTGTACAAGTTAAGAAAAATTATTAAAAATAATTGAAATCTAATATTTCTTTCCATTAAAATATAGAATTATAATTAATATTCAGCATTAAACTTGTTATCAAAACTTACTACTATCACTGATATATTTCATATATGAACATATAACCGATTATTATTAACTTCGCGAATTTATTGATCCATTCTTTTAATTTGACTAGCATCAATAATAATTAATAAAAATAGTGAATTGTTATTGCTATTTTAACCTTGGATTTTAACATTTAATCGCTAAGGTATCTTATCTATATTTCAAATTTTACATAGCACCTCTATTTTGCCAATTTAAAATCATAAATTCAACATTTACAAACGTTACCACGTTCAATTCTTACAGCACACTTCTCCGGTTCCATACGGTCGATAGTGTGTAGTTTTATTTATTAAGTTAAAAAAACGTAAACTGTTAACTGTTAACTTAATTTTAACTTACTTTGCTTTACACTTCAGTCTACAACTTAGATTATTCACTAAGAAAACAATGTGAGTATTTTTTTTTTGCTAAAATATATATTAATTGATATAATGTAAAACTTATTGTATAGACAAACGTTTGTTAGGTGTCTACAGAACGTGACATTGTAGTAACCTTGAAGTTAATTCTCGTTTTCTAACAAAATTAAAGATTTTTTTTTGGTTAACTATTGGCATATATTAAACGGATATTATCTTATCTATAAGAGATCATATATATGTCAAATACACCCATAGTTGCCTATGACATACTTGTCATGCTAAGTTTATTTTTCAAAAAAACAATAAACTAAAAAATATCAAAATTATTTGAGTTTTTAACTATAACTTTTCTAAATGAATCGTATTTTATCTGTTGTTCAAGTGATGATTATAAATGGCTTAAAGAGAACACCCATAATTTCANATTATAAATGGCTTAAAGAGAACACCCATAATTTCAGTGACTATACCATCAATATCTTCTAAACCATTTGGTTGCTTTTCAAAACGCCAGCTATTTAACTTTATGGTGCAACACGAGGTTTTAGATTTAAAAAGTAGTTTTTAATGTTTATGTAAATAGCATTATACCAAAAATCCTATCTTAAGGTATTCTTTTCCTTACTTTTATTTTTCTGTTAAATATTTACCTACAATGTTCTATCTCATTTTTGTAACCTACATCTTGTTATCATCACTTAAAAATTTATAAGACATAATTTTTATAATAATTATATTTATTCAATTAAATTTAGAAAGAAGTTATTTAATATTTATTTGGTGATATAAGTTGTTTAATGATTTCCTATTTCTATATACATTTATGACGATACATGTATAATTAAAGTATAGAATATTAAAAGGCAGTTTTTTTTATGATAATTCTTGTATTATAACACTTTTTAATAACTTTTATAAAAGGGTTAAACCAAGAAACTAGAACAGGTCAAAAATAAAATATCGTAATCTTAATTTTGAAACAATAAAAATGGTTATTAGTTTAAAATTATTTTTTTTTCTTA